GCCTTGACCTTTAACATCAATTCAATTCAATGAATTTATTTTCCATTTTAAACAAATGTGAGCAAAATACAGCAATACAATCATAAGATAGGGATTCCCTTCAAAGCAAATTGATTGTGGGAAGGGTCCCGGTTTGAAATGATAGTTAACAATGAAATCGTTATTTCATTAAAAAATAATACCTCACCTATATTCTCACTAAAGTGCAAAGTCCACAATGCAAAAATGATTTATGTCATTTCAAATTTTTAACCAAAGTCTTAATATTGGGTACCCTTTCCTGCCCGAATGACCCAGAAAATAGGTATGGGTATAGGCTTCAGACGCACACCCGTCCAAACCTATACTCGGGCAGCAAAATAGACTCTATGGATCTGTTACATCTTTGTAACCTTTTAAGGCCACTTTCTATCATTAATGATCAAATAATATTTAAATGTCTGTCAATGGAATCTTGACGCACAATGCATTATCAGAGAATGTCTCGATGAAGAAGCGTTATAACTGTTGCTTAGTTCTCTCGCTTTGCTTTCTCGAAAGATTAGAGACTGGATAGGACGTACATTAGCCCCTTGTCGACATTGTGCCCTCACACCACCACGTGTGTACCTCCTATCGGCAATGAAAGATACCTGCATGAAAGCAAGAGATTGAAGAAATAATGATTCTTTTCAATATCACTCTAGTAATGGTGGAAAAAGAAGCCTTATGAAGCGAAGCTAGGTAATGAGCCGGATTATTCTGCCTCGAGAGGGAGAGAGAGGGAGAGAAAGGGGAGAGAGACGGGGGAAGAGAAAGATGGGAGAGACTGATAAAGAGAGCAAGAGAGAGAGAAGAGAGAGAGAGAGAGAGAGAGAGAGAGAGAGAAAGAGGGGGAAGAGAAAGAGAGGGAGAGAGAGAGAGAGAGAGAGAGAGAGGGGGGAAGAGAAAGAGGGGAGAGACTGATAAAGAGAGCAAGAGAGAGAGAAGAGAGAGAGAGAGAGAGAGAGAGAGGGGGGTAGGGGGTGGGAGAGCGCATGCGACAGATAGAGATAGAGAGAAATAATAAGAAATAATAAAGAGAGAGAGAGAGAGGGGGAAGAGAGAGAGAGAGAGAGAGGGAGAAGAGAAGAGAGAGTGAAGAGAGAGAGAGAGAGAGAGAGAGAGAGAGAGAGAGAGAGAGAGAGAGAACTTAAGTATATACTTAGGAGGCCAAAAGAGAAAAGGAAAAAGCAGAGGGGTGCAACAAAGCCCCTAATTATGCAGGAACCTCGCTCTAGCGGTTCTTTTGATGGGTGTACACGATACCTGTAGAGTTCTTTAGGGTGCATGCCCATGTGAATGACCTGGAAGTCTAAAGCCCTACCAAACACCCAATTTCTACTGTGTTACCATGACAAAGAATGTGTTCGAATAGGCCATTTACGTAATGTAATCAAGTTTAATGCACAAATCTTTGATTCACCTCTTATAAATAATTGTATTTTAATAGTCAGAATGTAAATTGCGTATATTACGTGCCTAGCAGTAACCAATGTATGTAATTCGCATTCTGACATTCTGACAACGTGGCACTTAACAAAGATTTGTGCATTAAATTTGATTACATTACGAAAACTGTCTATTTCTTCTGTTACTACGACAGTAATGTGTTCGAATTCGATGATAGCATTTTTTTTAAATCGAGCTGATTGCAGTCGAACCTATGAATATACTCAAGGGAGACAACGAAATGGTCTTTATAAGCAGATGACCGAGCTTTATGTACAGGTTACTTTAAAACGTTTCAATTTTATCAGGGAGCATTAAATATGGCCTTAATTAACAAATTACATCATAATCACTGATGTATTCAATTAGACCCTATCATTCTTTTAATGATCGTCTATCATTGTGATTATCAGCCTTCTCCTGCTCCTAATCCTCCTTTTCATCATCACTGATATCATGATCATGATCATCACCATCATTATCACTATCATCATCACTATCATCATCATAGGCCTCCTTATAATCATCACCATCATCATCATCATCATCACCACCACCAATATCATCACCATCATTATCATAGGCCTCCTTATAATCATCACTGCTATCATCATGATCATCACCATCAACATCATCATCATCACCATCATCATCATAGGCCTCCTTATAATCACCACTGCTATCATCATGATCATCACCATCAACATCATTATCGTCATCATCACCACCAATATCATCATCACTATCATCACCATCATCACTGCTATCATCGTCATGATCATCACCATCACCATCATTATCATAATCATCATCATTATCATGATGATCATCACCATCATTATCACTATCATCATCATCATCATGATCATCACCATCAGCATCATTATCATCATCACCATCAGCATCATTATCATCATCACCATCAACAATATCATCATTGCTATCATCATTATCATCATCATGATCATCACCATCACCATCATTATCATCACCATCATTACTATCATTATCATCATCATCAACACCAGCATGTGCATCATCCCCATAATCATTATCGCTATCACCACCATCTTCCTCGCCCTCGTCATCAACACCATCAATATCATCTTCATCTCATAATCACCATTACCAATCATCACCAACAATATCCACAGCCATACCTGCTAAACTAGAATGGAATAAAATCCAAATCACACAAAACATTTCAGGTTTACTTTTTGTTTTATTTTATTTTTCTCACTCTGAAGGTCTCACAAAATAATAATACCACCTATTAATATATCAACTCTTCACACATTAGCAACTTTGAATCCAAAACACACCTAAAATCTCAAAACGTCACAGGGGCACTGACGTATACACCTTTAAAATATGTAACAATTTTCACCTCAGTGCCCCTGTGAGATTAAACCATGTTTTGGATTGCAATACTTTTTAGATGCTAAAAAGGTATAATTTTTTTTCAATATCACCCATATGTAGTAGAATGCACTTCAAATTTACGCACTTAGCATGGGTAAGAGAAATGTTAAAACACATGGGCTAAACAAAAGAAGCATTGATTTATCAATAATCAATGGAAGAAGACAGAAAAGAAGAAGAAGAAGAAGACGCAAGTATATGCACAAAGTTTGAAAGGAAAGGAGAGTAGAAGCTTGAGAAAGTTTTAAATAAGTGATTATGGAAAATTTTGTGATTACAGTTATCTTTTCTCATCTGCGTACAAAATATTCAAGGTAATAATAATGTTAAAGCTCTATCAACTGATGTTAACATTGCAGGGAATTCTGCGTACATTTTTATAATATTCTTGATAATTTACTCCATAAACAGGGAGCTCCAAATTTAGAAAAATTGTTCAACAAATTTCAACACATTGACAAAAGTTTAAACATTAGTAATTAAACATTCTCAATTAACACTAGTTCATTGTTTTTTTTTAACGATTTAATTATTACATTATACTGGACAGGTGGTCAATTTGTTTTAACAAACGACATTTAAACATGGCTTAAATTCAACAACATTATACTAATAATAACGAGATTTGCATTTATAGTGCACAATATAATAATAATATATCATGTTTAAGTACTCAACTCCCTCCTTGATATAATCTGTTTCTTCAATATTTACTGTTTCGTTCAACAACCCCTCACAAAATTTCCAAAGTTCAGAATAAGTTGGAAAGTTTAAAAAAAATAGGGGGAGGTACAATATAAGAAAAATTTGACACACATAAGACACTGAGAAACATGAAGAGGAACAATCACAAACAAACGGATTACAAAACCAAACTCACATCATTAAAGGCGTAAATTTAACACTTTTTTTAAAGGAAAAAATGATATATTTTTTAATGATAAAGGACACGGCAAACTCGTTTACTATATTTTCAAACTCTCACTCACTTACACTCTGTCTTATAAACCTTACACTCAAATGCAATCCAACTCTTTCCATGAATTCCCACCTATTCTCAAATTCAATCACTAACTACAATTTTTTTCTTTTTTCTAGGTAAAAAAATCTGTAAAAATGGAAGAACAACCTTATGTTATACAAATCAATTAAAAATTTGAATTGAGTTACATAAATGTAAAAAAAAACCTACAAGGTTTAAACACACCAAAATGGATAATATTCTTGCAAAAAACACCACATAACTTTTTTCTTCAACTAGTACTAATATTTTTTTTTCCTTTTTATATATAAATGGTCCAGTTTTAAAAAATGGAAGGAAATTTGTGATTGTACATTTTAGTTCTGAACACTGGAAGTACTGTATGATTAAGGAGTGAGTTTCCAATAATTAGTTGTTTCTGGCACATGTGTCTGTAAAAATGACAGGAGATTCAATTAATATCTCTAGTTGAACATAATTTGGACACTCGAGCAGGTTTTTGCTACAATCACCCTCAACAACATTTATCAAACTCTCAAATCGATTTATCATGAACATAGAAGTTTTGAAGCAAACTATGCGGGCAAGCTCTTAACATTAATCAACATTTTCATAACATAATTGCAAATACAAATTGTCAATTCGGAAGCGAAGAACAAGAACATTTGAGAACATTATTTGAAATACTGTAGGAAAAAAACAAACAGTCCTACAAAATACAAATTGGTACTTTCCAATCACATGGTTACATTCTATGACATCTTATGCCTGTACACGATGAAATCCAACAAAATCCTCTGATTTTTTGTTTTTTCTGTGGAATGATCGTCAGGAATGATAAAATGGAAAAGAACTACTTTAAATGGAATCCTCACATCATCACGGAATGATTGAATTAAAAAAATAAGAGTACGCTGGAAATCACAACATTTTACAATTTCATTTTATGGTTCCTTTGGTTAGAAAATAAGTCAAGGCACTTCGTGAACGTGTCAGGAATATTCTTTGTCTCTTTAGAATTATGGCACATAAACTACATATTTTAACAACTTATTCAGTAATCTTCATCCAAAAAGCACAAATAATAGTGAAATGTATTCTTTTAGAAACAACTTTCAAATACACGCTTTCAGTAAATTGTTATATTAAAAAGGTATTCAAAAAGCGGCCCAACATCACAATCATTCATACACACACGGTCACTCGCACACGAATAAAAGAGGAAAATTGAATAAAGTCAATAAAAAACAGGTTATAATTTAAAGAGAATAAACACAATAATAAAAGAATTCAGCTTCTTTTTTTCATCAAGAAAAACAATTTAAATAACCTATCGTTGCCTTGCAAAAAATAATATATTTGTGGCATATGTTCACGTTCGCCAAAACATCATCAAGACATCTAACATGAACCAGTCATATATTGCTTTTTATCATTCGCTTCAATACTACCAAGATCTTTTAGAGCCAATATGAGGGCTATCAGAACAGTCGTGTTGCCAATTTGCAACTGAACACTGATGAGTGACAAATTTTAAAATTCAATACCCAACATGTCCGACAGTACTCGCATCCATGAGCCTGTTTATCTACCGAGTCACGAAATATCCACAGATTATTGTTATATCGAAAATTCAACTGAGTAAACAATTACGATCCAATCCATCGCGCAACAACATCACCTGTTCGATGTACTTAAAGACTACATACCATCTAATTCTACTTCAATTACAAAATAAGGCACAAATGGTGACAGCCAAATTTCAAAAATGAAATATTCACCTTCTTTCATGGATAATAATAATCCAATACATAATATTTTGGCCCGTTTGATGGAGTCTCTTGAAGGCACGAATGTTTATTGCAGATACTGTTAATACAAAAAAATGTGTATTTTTTTCTTTTCTTCAAATGTCGAAATTGTCTGAGAGTAGTTACAGAATATATTGTATTTCTCAGCTGCCTTTGTTTTATAACTACCCTCTTTCTATGAGAGGCTAACTGTGTCTTATCTCCTACAGATTTACCAAAGAAAACATGCAGTCCCGTTTAAGTTCAGCAGTACTTCCCTAAATGAAGATGCGATCCCTGTTTCCTTTGGTAGTATTTCCAGTAATGACCCGACGGAGCAATCACTGGACGCTGTTCTGCTTCGGCAGTTTAACTAAGCCTTGCAAATGAGATGCAAACTAGAGTCGGCATTAGTGGATCCCGGTCGTCTTCAACAGTTACGAAGAACTACGATGGCCAGTCTCATCTTCAGAGACACAGAGATAAGACACTGCACCCTCTACAACATTTCCTGGTACCCGTTTCCATTTTTAATCTTTTTTTTTGTTACGACTGATCGATTCTGCGACTCCTGTCCTTAGTGGAGTCGACATCCAGCATCACATCAACCATAAGCTTTGCACTTTTTGTTCTGTCCGAGTGTTGCGCATTTTCCACTCTCCGTAATTGGAAGGAACGGTCGCCTCCGACGCAACATCCACACCAACGTTTCATCGAGGATGTTACGGTATGATATATCGTTCATATTCAGCGATCTGTGTCTTGTCGACGCACCTTGGAATTCCTCTGTCAGCAGAGACCGCTTGGCATGGTGATAATTTCTACTTCGTCCACGCCGGTTGGTGTGCATGGTTTGTCACTCTCGTCCATGGATCGTGTCTTCTGGACCGTGGTGTGTCCTGCGGTCTTGGTTGGAGAGCCAGGTACAAGGTTCTTGCTCAACAAGTTTTCCATTCGATCTCTAACAAGAATGAGGTAGTCCTGTAAATGGCGAGAAGAAAAAAGGAAGAAATATCGGATTAATTATCATAAAAACCGAGAAAACTACTTGAAAACTATAGCACAACATAATGAATCAGAACATAAATGGAGAAAAAACATGACATCTACATCTTTAATCTATGATGAATTGATTATGCTGCATGCACATGTAGGTACATTAAATGTAAACCTGTTAGATGAGGGAACACTTGGCCTCCTTTTCTTCATGAATGCCATACAGGCACTTTAGACATAATGAGGTGAGTTTTCACATGAAGGTGAAAAACAAAGGAGTGCGCCTTTGAGCTTTTGAAGATCGTGCAGGTATGCCGGTGGATTCTAATAGGGGTGATGGAGGGGTCAAGTGCCCCTCGTCCACCAATCAGACTGCAGCGTTTCCACCCGGAGGCTAGACAGGGGAGAGAGATAACCCAATACTTTCGGCTATCGTCATGGAGACGGATGACAACAGACCAGGTTGGGGGAGACCTAAAGTGTGTCATATTTCCCTGGAATCCTCATAAAAAAAAAGAAAGTAAAACACCCGGTGGTAAGCTCGATTCTTTCAAATGATCCAGGGGAGGGCTGCCAAATTTTTTCTCCGTCATCCTTCCCTTTTCCCATGTTTGCGTGGGACTTGCACAATGGACCCCAAGTGCAGTTCTGAACATGATGTATGCGGTCTCAATAACATTGTGGCTTGCCGGATGATATCGTGGAAGAGACCTTGGCACATTTTCTCCGGGTGGGACCTTCGTGTTTGGCCACGCTCGACCGCAAAAATGCAGTCCATGTTCACACGAGGTTGGGATTAGGTACGAGCAGTCTGTCCTCATTATTTCAAAGTACAGATACTCGGTCATGTCCTCCACAGTTTAAGATTTTTTGTTGTTAAATTCTTACCGGTATTGAATGATGGAGTGGATTCTTACCGTGCCAAAGCATTTACTTCTCATCTTTTATCATACGATATGACCAAACTCTAGTCAAGTTGTATTCTATGTATCTTCTTTCTTTTTTAAGTTTAACTAAAAACAATGATAACTGCCCATTAATAAATGGAGGAAGCAAACTTCTTTTTTGGTTCCTTCCCTTTTCTCTGTCTCTGTCTATTTCTACAATTTAACCTGTTGATGCTGTTTTTACATGACAATGAAATAAATTGAAATTGGAATCGATAGGTATTATTGGGCACAGAATCTCTCCATGCCTACATTCTTTTGTAGGAGCTATTCCGGATGGCACAGTTCATTTGGAAGTGGAATTTTGAAACGCTAGAAATAACATCCTCTCTGTGGTGAAAACAAAGTTGGGAAGTCATAACAATCTCAAACTCTGCTACAGAATGCTGGAACCAGAGCAAAGAGCTTGAACTATTATCACTAAGTCACGTTTAACAAAAGACATTCTTTTCTATGTACCCCATCCCCTCTTTGTATTGTCCCACCCCTTTATAAAGTCCACGGCCACGATAATTGAAAAAGAATTTAAATTGGCAACTATCACATGGAAACCTCAAAGTTGGAAACATTTTAGAAATTCTAAAGACGACCCTCAAAAACTTTGGTTGAACTTCTTTGGAACTTTGGAAGGTTGAAAACTTGAATCAAATCTGAACTGTAACCACCAGAATCATGAGAATCAAATATCAGTAATGTTATGACGCTGCAAGGACCAAGGGGAAGACCAAACAAGAAGAACAAAAAAGGTCACATGGCTTTTCTTTTATCTAGTTCTAGTCCATTACTTGATTATGCAACATCTGTAGCTAGCAATGAACAGATCACAGTACACATCCTGATCAAAATATATCCAAATACTGGCCCAATTAAATGCCCTCAAAGTCTCGAACCAGACTCAGAGACTATCATTTAATCTCTCTATCTCTGTATCTGAATCATGTTGATTCTTATGGGCAGTGCAGCTATCCGAAATCTGGTCATGTTTGATTTAGGCCGGAGATAGACCTGGTACTACCCCCCTAGGCCCCTGTGATCCTTTTCTGGCAATGCAAAGATCAGACCTGCGTTAGTCAACACACAGCCTGAGTGTTTGTCTCATTTAAAATCTAGTTCAGTTCTACAAAGTTAACCTGCACATATTGTCCCAATCCATTCAAACTGCATGTCCCTATCTATGAACTATAAGATTCTATGTAGGCTATATATACATAAACATGTTCATACAAGGCCTACTTGTTGTCTTTGTGCACTGGTAGTTTCTGCAATGGTAGGGAGATCAAACTGATGAAAACAGACCCACTATTCTTCTCTAAATCGCAATTTATTACCAAAATTGGGAACCAATCAACAACAAAACTACTAGCCAAGTGCCAGTCATTAGAGGAACACTTTCATGCACTTTGTACCAATAAAACTATGTGATGTGAAGGGGAATTGTTGAATGTTTCCACTACCTGCTGGCCCCTTGGAATGTCATGGAAATAAATCTGTCTTGCACAGGTCACATGACCTCTCTGTGACCTTTTGACCTCCCCCTTGTTTGGACTGTAGACCCTGGGGGATGGGCCATGGGGGTGGCATGGGGTCAAGGGTTAAATCTCCCCTCCACCTGTGCTGTGCACCCACAGGCAAAGGTAGAGGAAGGAGGAGGAACAGGGAGGGGGCAGGAACCGGGAGGGGGGGGGGGGGGAGGAACCGGGAGGGGGAAGGAACAGGGAGGGGGTGGTAGGTGTTCTAGAAAATGTCCAACTACTTGGGAAGTTGAGACTTCAAGTTGCCAACATTTTTGCATCATCGTAAGCCGAGGATGACAGATGTTAAATATCGCTATACACATACCTATCCACTTTCAATTTTCATATACATTTATATTTATGTAATACATTTAGGTGGATCTGGTGGTGGAAAAAAAAAGATGAGAAATGTTATGGTCGTTCCGCACGTTCGCTTGTACGAGGTTAAGGGGTGGTTGTGGGGGCGTGCACGGTGGTGTATACTCCTCTCTTATGTCATGTCAGCTAGTTTAACAGTCATGGAATGTTACGCAGTCTCATGGTGAGACTCCCCCTACTACTAGCCTACAAGACCCCAGACATGGTAACATTCTTGGCAATCTGCGATGTAGTTCAGTCCCATGAACTCTTTTTCATGTTTGTGCCATGTTGTTGTTTTGATAAAGTAGGTGGATGAACAGCATGTAATACTGATTGTCTGATCGCGCTCAGCTCATTATAGCATCAAGACAAATGCTTACACAATCAGTTTAACTTTCAGAGAAGTATCTGAAATATACCTATGAACATGTAGCTATGTAGTCACCTAAGGCTAAAGGGCTTTTCCATGCAAACATGGCCAAGTTGAAAATCATTGCCCATGTTCAGAAATCCATAGGTTCTGCGGAGCGAGACTAGCAAGTTCAGGCCGAAGATGAGGAGGCCCTGGAGTCTCCCTCGCTTGGTGGCAACAGGAGAGCCTTTTGGCGGGGAGAAATACGATAGTTCCATAAAGTTCAAAATCATATCGGCCTTATTACATCATTAAACCAGGTTGCAGAGGCCACCTCTTGTAACCACAACACAAGTCCCAAGCACACTTGACGAGCTCAAGACATGTAGCCTAGCCTAGTCCTTTGGGTTCCCTACATTTATGTCAAGTTTCAGAGGTTACAAGTTACTTGTGTCTGTATCCTCACTCCAGGTTTGTAGGACCATGGACCTGGTACTAGTTAGTCCACAGTGCTAGGCCAACATGTCATGCACGCAATACCACTGCCTAAAAGAGGAGACAGCCAAACCTGTGGGTTAAATCAGTTCATGATAGATTGGACTGCAACTCTGCAAGTGTCCACCAACTTGATTTCAATATACACATACTTTCTCTGGCACATAATGGTCACCCCCTCCCCCTCGATCCCCTGACCCTTCCTAACTTTGGCCATCAGGTTTAAAAACATAACCTTGGAGAGCTAGCAGGAAATCCATCCCAAATGTTCATGGCTCTTTTGAGAACCCATTGCATTCCTGGGTAATTCAGGGCAGTAAAAAAAGACCTGGGCAAAGGCCGAGAAAACAGAAAGAGAAAGGAAAGAAAAAGGAGAAAGTCATCACATCCATGTGCACTGCAAACACTTGCCCTACAAGAAGAATTGTAACAGGTCAATGAAACTTACAATGGGGTCAATGTGTGTCTGCATTCTTGAGTTCAGTGTAATATAACTTGAAAGATTTGTGACTCTGGGAGTACTACAGGACCTTCTAGGACCTTCCTGAGACGAAGAGAATCACTGTTCTCCGGTCTCCAAGCAACTCACAACTCACGAGGAAAAAATTTGGGCTAGGCATCAACAAAAACAAGACATACACTAGCATTTGTCACGAATGTGAAAGTGACGGTGTCATGTTTACCTCTAGGTAAAAGGAAACTGGGCTGTTTATGGGAGACTAGCTGGGATAAAGCGAGGAATGTGGGCTCTTTTGAGTATGAGGAAAAAGAATCTTTAAAGAAACATTCTGCACAAAGAAAGACGAAATAAAAAAAAGGTGTTGGATTCAGTCAGGTTATTTGTTCCTCCCTATTTTACCTTAATTCTCCCCCTATAGATTTCAGAAACTGGATTCCACGGTGGAGAGAAGCGAGGAGAGAGAAACACGGGCTGGATTTCGTCTCTCGGTTACCGTCGGCAACCGCTGGAATCCAGCAGGCTGCAGGAAGCCAGACTCGATTTCAGATGCAGCGATACACCCAAATTATATCAAGCATTGTTTGGATTTGAAAGCGCTCTTCCTAAACAGATTTCTTACCAGGTCGGACCCTGCTGATGTTACATGCTCACATTAAAAAGCCACAATAGAAATCAGCTCAATGAAACTGCTTCTTTACACTGCTATATTCATTCTATAAGCAGGAACTTATACCCCCCCCCCCTTTTCAAATCAAAAAGTTCATCTAAAAAATCAAAACATTTTACAATTTGAAGGTTGAAATTAACCTCAACCATTATTTCAAACTGTTACATTAATCAAAAGACTGAGATTCATA